GGACAGCTTTATCACTCAATATAGTTAAATGTTTTATTATGGTTTCATTTAAGCTATTTATTTTCTGTGTCATGTCAACCAGCTTTAAACTTACAATATGTCAGTGAGATCTGTTATAAACTCTAAATAAAATTTTTACTTTTGGATTTATAGTCTGTTAACACTGTACCCTACATATGCCAATACATCTTGAACTTGTTCTTTAGTGCAAAAATACATCAAAAATCGTTCTTATATATATTAAATAAAGTCCAATTATATTAGCTATAAGAACTATTTCTTGTTTTTTATTTTACTCCAGTAGAAACTTGTCATTCCTTCCACAAAACCACCAGGAAAAAGTACAAATCCCTCATTAAAACGTTAGAAAATCACAGCAACAAGTTTCCCCGCAGAGAGAATACACGCTCTGAATTTAATCTCAATAGACAGACTAAGTTAACAAAACGTTTTTTCAGCCTCTTTTTTTAAAGCCTTTAAATCACTTACCCTCTCCCGGCAGAGCTGCTCTCAGTCAGGTCCGCTCTCCTCTCCTCTCCGTCAGGCTTCAGCGTCCCGTCTAACAATTCACTGCCGAACCTCCCACCTTGACCTCGGTCGGTGCACGGTCCGCGCAGACACCCATTGAGTCCCCGCTCCTCGGTAGTACGGTTCCCCGCCTCTCTCTCTCTCTGGTCGGTGGTCGTCAGCGGGTCAGCGCGGCGGGAGACAGCCGCGGAGGAGGAGGAGGAGGAGGATGGAGATAGTTGGAGAGGAGAGAGGAGGAGAGGAGGAGAGGAGGAGGAGGGGGTCTCACGCAGAGTTTCGGTTGTTTATACTGGGCAGAAATACTGTGATGCTATTGGCTGAGATGAATATGGAGCTATAGGAGCCAAAAAGAAAAAAAAAAACAAAAACATGTATTTCAGTTTGTATTAAAGGGGAAGTTTTACATTTTTGGAAGTGCACTTATTATGCTTCCTTTCTGGCTTATATGAGAAGATCCATAACACTTATCTGTCAAATATAAGGCTACAGTCAACAACTGGTTAGCCTAGCTTAGCACAAAGGCTGGAAACAGAGGGAAACAGCTAGCCTGGGAGCATCCTGGAGTCTTTGCTGGTTGCCTGGCAACTGCTCAGAGCCAATAAACAGGATAGTACTTAATATAATGTAAACTGGGGCATTGAGGTGTTTGTACAGATTAATATGGAAACAAACAAGGTGTTAATTCGGTGGATTTTGTTGGACAGAAGCATGGGTAGCTTCCCACAGCTTCCCACCCAAAACACAAACAAAACAAATAAACAAAACCCCAAAAACTTCGTGCCACTTTATATTACAGGACTTCCTTCAGTGTTTCCAGGAAAAAAAAACAAAAAAAACATGCAACACAAATTATAGAAACCGTGTTCAATTAGTACACATCCAATTGCTCCAAATTATTTCCAACTAACTGCTAAGATTATGTAACCTCTAGTGCAATCAATCATTCCAGTGCACAGCAGGTCAGCTCAACAGGTCAGCTCAACATGAAATGTTGATGAACGTTTATCTACAGGCAGTTCGATTCTGCTGTTTAATTCAGCAGAAATAACGAATTAGGCAGAGTTTCTAAATGAAAATCAATGGATATTTTCTTTGCTTTAAATATTGCTCAATACTTTCAAGGAGAATCCTCTATGCTACTTTTACTTGTATAAAAATGTATAAATATATCTTCCACCACTGGTGATCAATTATCAAAGAGTGGCAGGGATGAGGGCAGAGAGACAGAACTAGGAGGAAGAGGAGTGAAGGTCATAACTTATTACTCTGAGGAAAGGACAGGTAATTTAGTAGCGCAGATTCCACAATGTAATTAATAAAATAAGGGCACTTTCTTTTCTCCTCTCACATCTACCAGGCTCAGTACTGGAGCCAGCATCGCTGTCAAGAAGTTTTGTTAGTGAAACTTCAAAACTTTATTCACAAAACTGCCCTTCATACAATACGAAGGGCAGTTTTATGAAAAATGTTTTCATTTTCTTTAATGAGTGAACTTTAATATGAGCAGAACATATTCACAATGTAAAATTCCTGCCTTATATTAATGCTCTGATGCAATTTTTCGTGTCCGTTTTTCCATTCACTGTGATGAATTACCTTTAATGGCAGAGAGAGGTTAAGCTATTTGGAGTGGTACAGGAGTGAAATACGGCAAAACTGATTTAAAGACATCATGCAGAAAAACTGTCACAGCTGCAGCCATAAACGATAACAAGAAATCACAGTGGGTGCTTGTAACTATCGCTAATAGCTGGGGCCAAAGGGAGAACCTGGAAATAAAGAAGGAAAGAAAAGAAGAAACCTCTAGATCACAATATAAATGATCTTCAACAAAAGAGAAAAGAAGTTTTATAGAAAAGATATTTGGGCGATTGAACAAGAAATGTCAATATCACTGGATTTACTGATTAAAATTATACAGATGTAAAAAATTGTGGTGGAAAATAACAAAGTACATTTCCTCAAGTACTGCACTTAAGTAAACTTTGTAGTAGACTTGATAACTCAGTTTTATAGTACTTTACATTTATACTCCACTGCATTTCAGAGGCAGCAAGCTTTAGTTACCAGTTATTTTGCAGACTCATTAATACAAAATGAAATAAAAAAAATCATTATGATGTATTAGAATATATTAAACTACCCAGTAGTGTATGAAGTGGTTAAAATTGGCTCCTATTTTAGCAGCTGCAACATGAAAGTGGTAATGCATCAATTATTACAACACAAAATATTTTTCTGAAAGACCATTCTGCAAAATGTTTATAGATGTTTAGAGTGCTTCTTCCACCATCAGTGATCATCGTGAGGTAAACAATCCTAAAAACACAAACAAAAACTCTATTTTGCATCAAAATGGGAATGCACATTTTTCTCTCCTAAGACATTTAATGTGCATTGCATTTCCTTCACTCAGGCAGGTTTGCAGCATTTGACCTTGTACATCCCTTAAACACCTCCAGCCAGCAGGTTTCCCCTCGTTTGAATTTGCAGGAGCATCTTCACCTTCCAGGGGGAGAATATTTCAGCTCTCAGGGGCACAATAAGTCGGTTGAACCTTTGATTGAGCGGACTTTGTAATCCAGGTTATGCATGAGGTCAGTCTATTCATCAATACTATACTGGAATTAAAATTTTGTGTGAATAACCTTACACTTTCTTTTTCACACCAAACCTCTCTCCTGCATGATAATGTTGGGTGAAAATATTTTTTTTTTTAGCTGAAAGATGTCAAACAAAGTTAGAAATATAGTTCTATCACAAAAGTAAATCTGACCCCAATATACTGAAAGCTCACCCAAATCCCAGCTGGTTTGATAGTACGTGGTTGTGTTGAGAAAAAAAAAAAGTTGCATTAAGTTTCAGTGCTTTGCCTTATACAGTGCTAATAAAAAGTACCCAACCCTTTTAGAAATCTTTCAGTTTTATTGTCTTACAACATTGAAAGTAGATTTCAGCTATTACAGGTCCAGTGTGTAGGATTTAGTGGCATCTAACGCTGTAGTTGCAGATTTTAACTCACTCGTTTTACCCTCCTTTCGGCTGTGAAAAATGCGAAGGACACCATCTAGAGCCAGTTAAATGGTTGTCCATTCTGGGCTACTGTAGAAAGATGGCCATTCAACATGGTGGCCTCCAGGGAAGGTGACCCGCGGCATCTGTAGATAAAAATGGTTCATTCTAAAAGGTAACAAAAACACGATTCTTATTTTCAGGTGATTTTACACTAATGAAAACATACCTATGAATAATATATTCCATTTCTGTCAAATAGATCCTCCTAAATGTTACACA